CGAGGAAGAGGGATCAGTTGAAGAATGCGGCGATGGGGACGTTGGTTAGTGGGGTTGGGTGGTTGGTTGGTGCTCCTGGGCCTGCGGCGGCTGGGGGTGGGAATGGGAGGGAATGAGGGATGAGTTGATTGTAATGTTGAAGTAGTTGTTCGTTAGGTTGCGGTACAGGTAGTGGAATCACTGAATAAACATTGAAAAGATAGGTTACAGCAAAAATGCACGTTGTTTCTGCCACACTAATCAACTATCACGACAGTAATTCTTCTTCTCGCTGGCTAGCTGAATATGAAGGAAAGGTGGTATACACCTGAAAGCAAGAACCCGATTCCCCCATCCTAGTGCCCTTCAAGGGGTGTCGATGGGCAACATGGCTCATCCGCGCCCTCTCCAGCCCAGCCTTCGAGGGGCAACTGCCCTCCTTTACCCACCCCTCCCAAACGCCTTGCAAATCCCCTTACCAAAACTCCGTTTGATTCTTTTTTGATCCCGACGAACAAAGCCTAGTGAAAAAGTTCCCCTCCCCAAGAAATGTAATACACAACCCCCCTTTTCCTCAGTTCATGAGAAATGGAGGAGGCATTGGGTGTATGGTAGTCTGTTTATCCACCCATTTTTCTCCGTCTATCCTCTTTGATTACTTTTGCAAAAACCGACAAAAACCCCAGGTTTCGGCCCAAGGTAAAAACAGTCAGATTTCTACTCCGAGTCCGAATCCCCATCCAACCCAAGAAGCGTCTTCTCAACATCATCCAGATCATCATCCCCCTGACCATCACCCTCATCCTCATCACCCAGACCGAGCAACCCCCTATCCACATCATCCAGGTCGTCGGCCTCCTCCATGGGCGTGTCACCATTAGTGTCACCCCTGTTGAGCCCGTTGGCCTTTGGACGGCGCACAGTCTTGGTCTGACGTCCGGACATCATCTCCGCCTCGTCCTCAGTCTCGGCGGGGTCGATAGGTTCCTTGGAAGGTGACTGGTCACCTTCCCCATCGGAACCATCACCATTGACTGTTCCATTCGTCGCCTTTGGCCGCTTGATCGGCGCGATAACCCCCAGGTTTGGATCATCGCTGTTCTCCCAGCGGGTGAGCCGTCGGGAGACGCGTCGAAGGGTAGCAGTGTACGCGTGGAACTGCTCGCCAAAGTCATCTGTCTCATTCTTGAGCTGACACAGCCCGCCGTAACCCCTCTCCCGGAAGTGGTGAGTATCAACATTGACTCCGGCGTTTTCAATGGCCGCCTTGTGGATCTTGACCGTGTCTTCATCCTCGCTGTCCTCCCATGGGTCTTCATCGTCCAGCTGCTCCAGTCTCTGAAGAGCGTGGATAATCGCCCCGTCAACACGGCGAATCTTTCGTGCCTGGTGATAGGATTTACGGAGACGACGATCCAAGATGTACTCCACACGCTGATTTCTATTGCGCTCAACAGCTATCTGGTGAGCAGTCGGTGGTCGAGGTTTCCGAGCAACGATTCCTTCCAGCTGAGGGCCCCCAGGCGACGAGCCATCGACCACATATTTCAGTGAGTGGGGACCACGTCGTCCAGTGCTGGCGCCAACGGATGGCCTGCCGAGCAAAGCACGCGGCGGAGTCGACCTGACACTATCATGATCGCTCTCGTGCTTAGAAGGGCGAATCCGTGGTAAGATGCCGGTGCTCGGACCAACTTCCTCTCCAGCCAGGGCGCGAGCTCGACCTCCTCGTTTGGTCTGGCTTTCTGCCATGAACTGTTGGTCGGCCTCGATGATCTTCCGCCGCATCTCCTGCTTCTCTCGGCCGAACCTCTTCTCCTCTTCTGTATCGACGTTTTCGAGTGCCATTTCCTCTTCCGACATGAGCACCAGCTGTGGAACTCCTTGATTGGCGACATCAACACCGTAGTCCACACCGGCACCGAACGGGTTCTCTTCGCATCCTTCCTCGGTGAAGTCGGACTCCAGGTAGAACCACATGATCCACAAAAAGGCTCTCGCGCGGCTCTCACTGGTGAACTGCTTCTTCATGATGAGATCGTGGAACTCGCCGCCGGGCGGGAAGTGCAGCTCAGCAACCTTAGTAGCGTTGCTGCAGATCAGGAACAGCAAGTTGACCGGGTTGGTTCTCGGCACGTTGACGGCCTTGACGGCATCAAGAGAGTTGGGCTCTGTCCGGTCCTCCATACCGCCCTTCAAGATGGACTTCAACCTGGGCGCATCCTGGAGCTGCTTGTATGCGTTGGAATCTGCTTGTGCTTGGAGGGACGGAATGGCGTGGTATGTTCGGAGCTGGGCTCGCATCTCGGGGAAAACTGTGACAGGGAGGATGGTCAGCAACGATTCAAGCGCCAGAGCAATGTCGGTAACGTACAATTAAGGGTCGTGTTCATACGACCAATGTTGACCAGGAGGCAGACCATGGCCATGCCCTTGGCGGCAGCGCGATCACTAAGCAGCTTGTCTCGAAGGACCTTGCTGGTCTTGCTACTCCTGGCCATCGTGTCGATGTAGAGGTCGGCAAAGCATTGCTTGCCCAGACGTTGTGGTTCGTAGCTGTTGGTGAAGACCTTGTCTTCGTTGTTGAAGACGGCCTTGAGAAAGTCGTATTGGATATCTTCGCGCCAGAGCGGCTCTCCATCGTTCTTCTTCAAATGCCTGACTTTGCCGATGATAGAGTTGCCATTCTGGCCATCATCACGGGCGCGCTTCTTGCCCCGAGGCTGCGTCTCGGTTGGTTCTGGGGTAGCCGTCGCCATCTTGGTGTCGCCGTCGTCGTCGGTGACCACCGTCATGAAGGACTTTTCCATGTGATGGTGGTGTTGGGGTAGTGGTGAACTGGCATCGACCTCAGACATGGCGACGGCGGAGCTGGGTGACGCAGCCATGGCTGCGACGACAAAGGTTTGGCGGAATCAACCAACTGTGGCTGCGGGCGTTGGGATGAGAAATGATTCGCGGGTGGGTTTGTGGGTGCGACGGGGGCGCAGGTGAAGAAAGGGAAAGGGAGAGAGACTCGAAGATGAAGTCACGGCTCGAGCGCCGGGCGGGTGGGAATTGCTGCGCGACCAATACGACAATCAAAATGCTCGGCTGGGGCTGCAGGCCAAAATGACGATAGTTGCTTCGGATGTGAGGAAAATGGGAAAAACAAGTGGTGATGGACGCGAATTCTCGGGGGAGTAAATCAATTTAGCCTTGGAGATGAGGAATTTTGTGATGATGGGATTTTGGAGCAGGAGACAAGAGGCGCAGAAGCCTGCCGCAGCTTGGCCTGCCACAGCACGCAGCACCCCCGAAGGCATCGCGTCCCCAAGCTTCCAGGTCGCCCTCTATCGTTTTGGCGATCCAAACTCGCGGGTGACGTGGTGCTGCCGGACCCACTTTGATCGCTTTCTACTGCTTACATGAATCAGCTGGCGGGACCGTTTACCACCCGACGCGATAGCCCGATATCGTTGCACTAACTGGGTCTCTGAATCCCGTTTCCTGCAAATAGACTCCAACCCCGACAGTGGCCGCATTCGGCCGGGAGATGTGATCTCATTCATGGATAGAGGGCGGTTATCATCTATCTTGATGCCGAGGGATAACTGAGCTCTCGCAATATTGTTTACGTAATTCAAGACTATGTACTATCCATTTACTTTCTGACTCTACGAATCGTGCCGGCTTCCATCGTGACACACGATCCAGTCCAACTATTTGACATCCTTCGCTGCCTTATCATCAGTGCAACTTAGTGTTGGACCATTCGGTGGCTGTCGGGACCGATCTGCGGCTCCTTTTCTGACTCAACAACCAACTCAACAATCATTTGTCTCGGGGAACACACGACACATTCGACAAACATATCAGGATCGGTATACGACGGCTTCAATGGCTAACAAAGTTGCAAAGATTCCCGTCATTGACCTCTCGGGGGAGAATCAGGAGCAGGTGGCCAAGGAGCTCGTGGAGGCCGCCATTGAACATGGCTTCATATACATCAAGAACACAGGGAAAGATATTCCTGCCGATGCTGTACATGGCGCATTTGATATGGTACCATCTTCTTTACAGCTGAGTCTGAAGCTTATCTAACCATACCATCATAGGGCAGGAAGATCTTCAAAGCACCACTTGAAGAGAAGCAGGCATGTGCTATTCAGAAGAACAACCGCGGCTGGTCTGCTATGCAGTATGAGACATTGGATCCATCAACCCAGCGTGTAAGTGTCGCATGATGATATGTACCGTCCTCCTACTGACAGGCAACAGGTCGGTGACTTCAAAGAGTGAGTATCCTCCCAATATATCGTAGCTTTCATCACTCACAGTAGGTCCAGGGCTTTCAACTTTGGCGAGTTCATCAACGGCAAAGCCGACCAACCCATGCCACCCACCATAGCCCCTCACGAAAGCCAGATCAACGACTTCCGTGAGCTCTGCTACAACCTCTGCCTCAAGATCAACACCCTCCTCGGCATCGGTCTCCAGGTCACACCCCCTGACTTCTTTAAGAACGCTCACGTCCGCGAAAGGGGCGCTTCGGGAACCATCCTCCGGTTCCTCTACTATCCGCCCCACACCGATACCCCTGACGCAAATCGTGAGGAGGATGTTCGCGCAGGGGCTCATTCTGACTACGGTTCCATGACCCTTCTCTTCCGCCTCAAGGGACAGGCTGGTCTGGAGATTCTGACCCAAGACGGGAAGACGTGGGCTCCTGTTCCTGTGGTGCCACCGGGGACTGAGAATGATCCTTCCCCTCCTATCCTGTTGAACATCGGGGATTTGCTTTCTTACTGGACTAATGGGCTGCTCAGGAGCACAGTTCACAGGGTGGTGTTTCCTGGTCCGGGCAAGACGTCTGTGGCCGGTGAGACGGATACTGAGCCGAGGTACTCGATTGCGTTTTTCTGCCACCCTGTGGGGACGACGCTGTTGGAGCCTGTGCCGAGTGAGAGGGTTAGGAATCATGAGGGGGATGCGCAGGCGAAGCAGGGGAATCCGTATGCCGAGAGGAAGGTGTTGACTGCTGATGAGCATTTGCATATGAGGTGAGTGCTCTTGTTGGTACCTCGCGAGCTTATTGCTGACATTCTTGATAGGCTCAAAGCAAGTTATCTGCAGCTGTATAAAGATAAGGAGTAGGATCATTACATAGATGTGGCATTGGATTGTGGGAGTATTTGACCATATGCTGTTGCCACCATGTCGGCATCATAAACTCAACCTCTAGGAAGAGTCTCCAACAAAAAAACAAGGTCCGCTGGCGTAATGGCAGCGCGTCTGACTACGATTCCAAAAGATCAAGTAATCAGGAGGTTCCAGGTTCGACCCCTGGGCGGATCGTCCAAGCTTTTGCGTCCTTCCAACAAGGAAGAGTTCTTTTTGAACTTTTTTTCTCGCTTTTTTGTGTTGGTGGAGACTTGGGAGTTGTTAGGGGATGATCCCTGGCGTGCTTGGCTTAGGGATGAGTTGGATGTGCAACCCTAACCCTTTTCACTCGGGATTAGGTGGCGGGGTGGACGACAAATGCTGTCGGTTGGGATGTTGAAGATGTGAGAAAAGAGAGGAAATCTGTTCAGTGTCACTGATATCTCTCTTTGATTAGTTTGTTCTCTGCTTGCTTGGCTGCTTAGGTAACATGCGGTATGGGCGAGAACCGTCAACTCGTGATGAGCCTACGGAGCATCACCGGACATTTCCCAGCAAAGTTAATGGCAGGTATAGATAAATATTCTTCGGAAGTGTCGTCTTTATTGTTTACACCGCGGAGAAGCTATCATGTCTGCCACGCAATCGAGACGAAGGGGAAAGATGTCGACTGGAATTTCAAGACTGACTTGCACAGGGAGCGAAACTGATGGCTACCTACCTGATTGACAGACCCAGCTTAGGCACTCTAATACTTCTTAACTGCTAGGTCTGGATAACATCAGGGCCCTGTGTCAAGAGCAACGCTCTTTCGGTGTTGGTTGTCGTCCGAGAGCACTTGCTCCCTGCTCCCACGGTATATATACCAACTCCCGCGCCCTTTCGATCATCGAATGAGACTCCCAACTCGGCTCCTGCCAAATGGCATAGCAGTATTGGGAGTCGCGGCACCGATTTGGGTAAGGACTAAAGAGTACCAAGGGGTGTCCGCTCGAGCCTTTGGCGAAGTAAAACCTTTACAGGTTTTCGTAGCTGGGCACCCCCAATGTGGGCTGCTCGGTGAGCTTTTTGATGGTATTTTTTTCCCTTTACCTTCTATTTTTCCCAATTGATCAATTCGATTTTTTTTTTCAATTCCATCTCCTGTTGTCCCCCCTTGTAGGATATTTTCCACATGCGTCAGGCACGAGGGTGCATACCTATTTGCCACTGCGTAGCTCGTATGACCCATCGATAACTTGGGAGCCAACATATCTTTCATACATTCTCTCCATCCGACAGAGAGTAACTAGTCACGAGAATGGCGTGTGTTTCAAAAGTGCACCAAGATTCCGCTAAGAAGCTGTCAGCTCTGTGAGTATAACTAGGGAGGTACCTGAGGTGGCTAGGTAGGTCTCGTTGCTCTCACTCAGTACTTCAACCACCAACCGTGACAGAAGATCGACATGGCAGAATTCGGCATGGCAAAAGTCATGGCAGAACACCGGCTCATCCCACGCGGACATCTGCTCAAACATAGCCGGATCCGAACCATCGACCCCGCAGTCGAAGACGCAGCGCCCAAAGGCACAACGTTCCTCGACATCATCCCTGGTAGCTCCAGTTAGTGGGACCAAACCGCCTATATCGAAGCCATAGACCCAGACGGGAGGCTGATGATGTATTTTCTGAAAGTGAGCCTGTCTTTTTTTTTTATTGTTTATTTTTTTATATTTTTTTTTCTATAAATATCTCGTCTTGGATTTTTTATTTCTTTGGCTGAGATTTTTTTGAAACCCAGGTGGCAGGCGGCGAACTCGCCCGCAAGAAGTTTGAAGGTGAGTGGGCCTCGTCCAAATAGCCCACCATTCATCAGTCTCTTCCACAACTGGCCAAACCCCTCGGTGCTGGCGAAAATCGAATGATTCCGGGGACATACTTTTTGCTTCTCGAGTTTAAACGCAGGGGGGATGATGGGGAGGTTCTCGAGCAACATCAAAGAGGTAGCGGGGAAGTGGTTTAAAAAATTTCCGTCTGGCGTAAGTACACTCCTCCAACTGCCACTAGGCATATCTTAGGGTAGTGTTTCTGGTCTTTGTGAGATGCAATAGCTTTGTTCGTGATATGCGCACGCTGGTGGACAAAGTTTCCTGGTGGTCATGAAGAGTGGAAGGCAGCTTGAAGATGGATAATCTGTTTGAGAGGAAAGCCCATTCAAGATGTTGGTTTTCAAAAACGAAGGAGGGAGCAATGTGGACCAAGTGTTTGCCGGGGTGCCAAAGACTCAATTGACAAAGGATTCAGGGGCTCAGGGGCACTCGCTTGGCATTCTGTTTGTTGTTTGTGTTTCTTGGGTCAGGTGTTGCACGATTTGATTGCAATGCATCATGTGTGTATTTCCCCACACTTTTACCCCTCACTCCCCGGTGGTGCTGCCTGGCGTCGGGTGGCTTCTGATAACGGATGTCGTATCCTCTCTTGTCGGGGAGGAAGGTGCACTCTTAGTCCGGTGAGGAATTAAAGTTCGGGTATGGAAGGGTCCGGACTTTGGTTGAGCCAACGGAACTTCAAAATCGATTCCCCTCGCCCAAATTCTTCTCCCAAACATCAACCGCTTTCGAACCCAGGCCTATCCGGATCTCACACCTTCTTGACCATCAAAGCAACTTCCCAGCTCTCCAAAGCCAAGATGAGCGGAATCGAAGTTGCCATTTTTGGGCCCCGTGATGGAGTTGCTGCTGTGAAGGCTGTCGGAGAAAAGCTCAATGGCAAAACAAGACTGGAATTGAACAGAACTGGATCCTATGGTAAGTAGTCATCCGACGTCTGTATCTTTAGCAGGGAACTTTGTGCATTGACTACAGTTGATGTAGAGCAAAATGGCCTTACGCCATCCACCTGGGAACTCGAGCATCTCAACGCCTCACTTGACCATGCCGGACTCCAAGATGTGCCTGTCAGAATCATGATTCGACCTTGCGGAGCACCCAAGCTCGGGCCCGACTTTGTTTATTCAGATGCCGAGTTCGAGCAGATGAAGTCTGATATACGCAAGTTCAAAGAGTCGAAGCACATGAGCAGAGAGCGGGGAGATGGGTTTGTGTTTGGCGTTCTGAGACAATCTTGCTCGGTCCCACAGATGCTGGTGGTCGACAGGGTGAGAACTGCGGAGTTGAAGCATTTGGCAGGGGATGATTTCAAGTGTGTCTTCCATCGAGCCTTCGATCTGGTGATTTCAACTTCCAGGGATGAGATGTGGGTGGACGACCTGGAGTGGTTAAAAACACAGGGGATGGCCGTTCTTACCAGCGGTGGCTGTGGAAATGCGAGCAACAATACCAAGGCTCTGAAGCAAGTACTTATCGAGACGGCGAGGATCGGACAAGAACTGATCGTGGGTGGGGGGGTGAGAAGCGATACCCTGGAAAGTCTGGGGAATGGGATGGGAGGACTGGGATATATCTATGCCCTAACCAGTCTTCACTCGGTTGGCATGGTGTTGCATTCGTCTTTTTTGAAGCGCGACCCCAGCAACGTGGTGTCGTTCGATGTGGAAGAAGCGCGAAAGTTCAAGGCCACATTGTACACGCTCATCTCATCACAGGGATGTGCTAACTAGAGCTCAAAAGTCTCGGGGGGTGACGGTGATCTGTTCTGTGACTCTTGAGACAGGCAGATCATGGAGAGTTTGCATTTTGTCGTGGTCAGCAAGAGGGACCAGAAAGGCCTGTTTCTCACCCAAAAAAAAGTTGAAAAGAAAAAAGGCAGAGAGCCAAAAGGAAAAAAAATTTGAAGAAAAGAAAAAAGCGGCAAAAAATTGAAGGGCATGGACTTTTGGGCATTCTTTTCGATTCACCACGTGCGACACTCTCCCCGTATCGAGAAGGTCCTGAACACGCACAACAGAGCCAAGCGCAACGAGGAGGAGAATGTAACGGAGTACGGCCTACGGTGGGTGGGTTGGCCATGTTCCTGGCATGGATGGTTATCGGTATAAGTCGTCGCCAATCAGAGCTCGAATCGCAACCACGTTGGCGGTGGAACATCGAAATCTTGGCATCAAGTTACATCGAAAGACCGCCCACGCAGAGCTCGACATGACGCACATGGTTTCGACATACACACCCCGCGCGAGGGCGGGACAGTTATCACGGCACTGGAAGCATCTCCGAGCCGTGGCATTTTATTGTTTTCTTTGGACATGGGGTGAGGACCACCACTTACGCGACCCACGCCACGTGTTGGAAACGACTCGCCATGACGTTCACGATGCCCTTGTATTCCTTTCTTGATGCCCCCATCTTACCCAGGGAGGAGTCCGGATCCGTCAGTGTGGAAAGGGAAGCAGCAGGAAGACGGCCCCCCTCGCATGCTGCCGTCGTCGGTGCAATGTGATTGCATGTCGATCAGCGTCCCACTGCAGAAATCAAGGTCGGGGTATATATAAGCTTGCTGCCGCCCCGACATCAACGACATTGAGAGCTCGCGTGAGGTAGCTTCAACTCAAGTCAACAGCCACCCGGACAAGGCACCCTCACAATGCTCCCAAGACTGGACCTCGCCGCCGTTTGGCTGGCAGCCACGGCTTCTGTTGCTTCGGCCCAGACCTACCGCAGATTCGGCACCTGCCCTTCGCTGGGCTGCGTGATCCCGCCAGACCAGCAAGATTTCTTGCCTGGCCAGGAGTTCGACATTCGTTTCGAGGTTCACGCCCCCAAGAACGGATCCGAGGCATTCAACAATGGTGTCCCCGACGAGAAGTTCACGGCGACCATCTCGAAAGATGGTGGACGTCCGCGAAGCATCGCCGACTTCTTCAAGATCCGCTCTGAGCCCTCGCTTGAGAAGTGGACTTTCTCTTGGTTCGAGGACTTGTTCGCAGAGGACGCAAAGACCCCCTCTGTGGTCAATGTCGCTTCCAAGGCGTACCGTCGTGTGGCGCTGTACGAGCCTGGAACCTACACGGTGACGCTCAACTACTTTTCGGGCAAGAAGACTACGGCGGAATGGACTGTTCGTCCTTTGGCTACCAAGAAGAAGGCCAAGAACGTCATCTTCTTCATTGGCGACGGCATGACGACCAACATGATTACGGCCGCCCGCCTGCTTGCACACAAGACGGTCAACGGCAAGTATCAGACCTTGCTCTCGCTCGACGATTTCCCGGTTCTGGGACACCAAATGGTACGTTCATGACATGGCGCCAGTCGGCGAGGATACAGCGATACTAATGCCTAGTAGACACACTCGATCGACACCTTCATCACTGATTCGGCAAACTCCGCCTCGGCCTTGTACACCGGTCACAAGAGCACTGTCAATGCCCTCGGGTAAGTTTTGTCTTGAACCGTTGATGCTTTGATGCTTACTGTGGCTTTCAGTGTCTATGCCGACACCTCCCCCGATCCTCAAGATGACCCCAAGGTCGAGACCATCGTCGAGATGTTGTTCCGCATCTGGGGCTCCGCGTGGGGCGCCGTCTCGACTGCCTTCATTGCCGACGCCACGCCGATTGCCCTCTCAGGCCACTCCCGTCTCCGCTCCCAGTATGGCGTCCTCATCGACCAGACCCTCAACGGCGTGCAGAACTACTCGTGGACCAAGACCGACGGCCCCGATGCCTACTTTGGTGGCGGTGCCGACCAGTTCATTGCTGGCCCAGGGTCTTACCAGGGCAAGGACTACTATGCCGAGTTTGCCAAGAAGGGCTACAGCGTCAGCTTGAACAAGACTTCCCTCTTGTCTGCCCCCAATGACAAGAAGGCTCTGGGCATCTTCTGCAAGAACAATCTTCCGGTCTGGATCGATAGGCACATCTTCCCCGAGAACCTTGAGATCAACAACGACCCCACTGGCGCCGCCAAGCCTGCGAAGGACCTGCCCGGTCTGAAGGAGATGACGCTCAAGGCTGTTGATATCCTGCACAACCGTGGCGGCAAGGAGGGCTTCTTCCTCATGTCGGAGGCGGCTAGCATTGACAAGCAGATGCACGCGCTGGACTATGACCGTGCCCTGGGTGATCTTTTGGAGATGGATGATACCATTCGCGCCACTATCGAGAAGCTCAAGAAGTTGAGGATCTTGGATGATACTCTGATCGTTGTGTCTGCCGACCACGGTCATGGTTTCGGTATGCTCCTCTCAATGAACTCAAGCTGATGACAAGTGCTGACAACAAGAACAGATGTCTTTGGCAGCTCGGACACCAAGTATGCCGAGGCCCAGGAGGACGAACGCAGCAAGAGGAATGCCATTGGAGTTTACCAGAACTCTGGCTTGTCGCAGTACACGGAGCCCAAGCCTGGTGTTAGCTATGGCACTGGTGCCAACTTCCCCATGAACTGGTATGTATCAATCTTTGTCTGTCTGGGTTAGCAATATGACTAACGGCACTTCTCAACAGGGACCCCCGCTACGTCCTCGCTGCTGGCGTCGGTGCCGCTCCCGATCGTCGTGAAGATTTCGGAATCGGTGCCACCCCTCGTGCTCCCACCACTTCGAGAGGTGGCGAGGCTTATGTGAACGACAAGGATAGGCCCAATGGCTTTGTCGTCAACGGCACCCTTCCGACCAGCGAGAGCCAGGGCGTGCACTCGCTCACTGACGTGCCTGTGTACGCTCGGGGTCCGTGCCAGGAGACATTTGGCGGCACTTACAGCAACATTGATGTGTTTTACAAGATTGCCAACTGCTTGGGGTTGGCACATGGGAGAAACGTGACTGAGGGTGCCGGAAAGAGACATGGAAAGGGCAAGGGCAAGGGAAGGGACTAGGGGTTAGGGGTTAGGGTTGGGAATGGGGAGTGGGGAGTGGGCAAAAGTAATGTAATGTGTTGATGTTTGATGAGTATATATTTAGGAAGTGAGTTTTGGGGTTTGGGTGTGTATTGTTATTTTGTTATGGTACAGAAACAAACAAAAGATAAAGATGGATGTACGATTTGGGCCGGCAGCCGAGCCGAGACGGAACGGCGCACCCGAGCTGTTGGGACGCGCGCGGCATTGGTTTCCCGCCAACCCCGCATCGTGCTACTGTGCGTCTGCCTCGGTCCGTGTTCTTATAAGTCGTGAGCCGTGGACCTGCACCGCGGAGGTCCGGTGTCGCCAGTCGATCCTGTCAACACTTGGTGGCTTCCTTTTCTCACCGCAATCTTTGAGACAGTATATATCACTTACACCACCAGTACCAGTCTCAGTCTCAGCATCACTTTCACAACTCACACACAGCAACACTCATCCTTCACAATGACCACACCACACCCCATCCCCCGCAAGCTCTGGGAGCACCCCGCCCCGGAAACAACCCTCATGCACCGCTTCATGCGCTCCCTCAACCGCCAACACAACCTCTCCCTGTCGTCCTTCTCCGACCTCCACCAGTTCTCCCTCTCCCAACGGTCCCTCTTCTGGTCTGCGGTTTTCGAGGCCTCAGACTACCTCTACTCGGGGTCGTACACCACCGTGGTGGACGAAACAGCCACAATCGACCAAGTCCCCGTCTGGTTTGAAGGTGTCTGCCTCAATTTCGCAGAGAACATGCTCTTCTCCCGTGACCCCAGAAACGGGCAGCAATCAACCAGACATAAAGAAGACGACAAGGTCGCTGTTGTGGAGATCAGGGAGGGGGGATCAGAGACAAGGGAGGTGACGTACGGGGAAGTTAGGAAAGAAGCGGGGAGGTTGGCGGCCGCGATGCTGAAACGGGGGGTGAAGAAGGGGGATAGGGTCGTTATTGTGGGGGCTAATTCTATCGAGACGCTGCTTGTTTATCTGGCTACCACGTGGGTGGGCGCGGTGTTTAGTAGTAGTTCGACGGATATGGGGGTGAAGGGGATCCTGCAGAGGGCGGAGCAGGTTGATCCGGTTTGGGTGTTTATGGATGATGCTGCTTTGTACAATGGCAGGGTGGTGGACTTGCGGGGGAAGATGGGGGAGGTTGTGGCTGGGTTGGGTAACTGCAAGAATTTCAAGGGGGTGGTGGCGATCAGGAGGTTTGAGGAGGCGAGGGATGTGAGGAAGGTTCCGAGGGCGATGACGCTGGATGAGTTTGTTGGTGCGGCGGGGAGGAATCCGACACCGCCGGGGTTTGTGAGGGTTGGGTTTTGTGAGCCGTTGTTGGTTTGCTATAGCAGCGGGACGACGGGGACGCCAAAGGCGATTGTGCACTCGGTTGGGGGGATATTGATTAATTATTTCAAGGAGGGGAGGCTGCACGAGCAGATTGGGCCGGACAGTGTTACGTTGCAGTATACCACGACGGGGTGGATCATGTATCTGGCGAATGTTGGGTCGTTGTTGTTTGGGGGGAAGGCGATATTCTATGATGGGTCGCCTTTCCAGCCGGATGCGAAGATATTGGTGGAACTGGCTGCGAAGCACAAGGCGACAAAGCTGGGCATTTCCCCGAGGTGGATGTTTGAGTTGGCCAAGGCCGGCATCTCACCGAGGGAGATGGCGGATTTGAGTTCGTTGGAGACGGTGTCGTGCACCGGGATGGTCTTGTCGGATCAGCTGTTTGAGTGGTTCTATGATGTTGGCTTTCCCAAGCATGTCCAGTTGGGGAATATCTCTGGCGGCACTGACATTGCTGGGTGCTTTGGCATCATGAACCCACTGACGCCCGTCTACGTTGGAGGGACGCAGGGGCCATCTCTGGGCGTACACGTTGCCATTTACGACTCCCTTCTTCCAGACGGAGAGCCAGGAGTTGAAGTCCCCCACGGCACGCCTGGCGAGCTCGTCGCCGTCAAACCCTTCCCCAACATTCCTTGCGCCTTCTGGGGCGACAAGCTCCCGGTTGCCAGCCCGGGGTCAAAGTACCACAGCTCCTACTTCAACCGCTTCCCCGGGGTTTGGGCCCATGGTGATTTCTGCGTCATCCACCCCGTCACAGGAAACATCTCCTTCCTCGGCAGAGCAGACGGTGTGCTCAACCCCTCCGGTGTCAGATTCGGCTCAGCAGAAATCTACGGCGTTGTCGAGAGGTGGTTTGCCGACAAGATCCAGGACTCCCTCTGCGTGGGGCAGAGGAGGAAGCAAGATGCCGATGAGAGCGTCATGCTTTTCCTGTTGATGAAGCCGGGCCACAAGTTCACAAGGGAGTTGGTAAATGAGTTGAGGAAGAAGATTTCAGACGACCTGAGCAAGAGGCATGTGCCCAAGTACATCTTTGAGACGCCAGAAATCCCGGTAGGCTTCTCCCTTTCATCCTTTTTCCCCCCGCGAGATCCCGGCACTGACACATGACAGACCACCATCAATCTCAAAAAGGTCGAGCTTCCCGTCAAGCAGATCGTCTCCGGCCAGACCATCAAAGCAAGCGGGACCCTCGCCAACCCCCAGAGTCTGGACTTTTACTATCAGTTCGCCAAGGTGGAGGAGCTGGTCGGGCCAAAGGAGAAGCTTTGACCTCGAAACATGGACGAATACAAGAACAAGGACGGATGAATACCCCAGATCCTCTATAATGACTAGTTATCATACCGCAATCCTTGACCTCTTTTATGCCATACCATACCAAACCGCCAGCCCATGCTTAATTCAGCCTTATTGATAACCCAACGCCATCGCTAATGTAGTGCAGAAAGGTACACAAAACAGTGTCCATCATGTCGTCGTCCGATTACGTACACTTCTCAAACGTCCACATCCTCTTCGCGAAAGAGGCCCTCCTACTCCTCTTCACTCATGTCCATGTCTCCGGCATTCCACGGCCCTTGACCCCTCGCCAGACCTGTTCTCATGCCGCCCCCCCGTCCAGCAACCCCCTTTCCCCTTGTCAAGCGACCCCCCATTTCGCCCCCTGCCGGCAACCCTCTCTCTTGCCGCCTTTTTCCTCTGCTCGATAACCTCCTCCAACCTATCCATCTCCTCTTTCCCCTCCCCCGCCTTCCCATCCTCCAACACCAACTCCCCCTTCCTTCCCAGGAAACACCAACCAACC